TTTATAAAATATTATAAACTATTGATTAAAATATTTTTAAAAAGGTTTTATAAATATATTAAGTTAGAATCAATAAAATAATCAATTATTTTGCAGTGTAATATATTTTTAAGGGCATATGAATTATAAGGACTTTAATAGTAAGTAGATGATAAATTATCATTGATAATATTAAATGACTAATTATATTATGTTTGATAATTGTATCTATTATCACGTACCTTTTTTGGTAAATATAGTTTTTTAGGTACTGTAACAAAATATAAAATGATTCATGTTTTTAGTGAGAAAATCAGTGCCTTATGTTATGCCTATGGGATTATTAACAAGCACTTTTGCTAGTAATCGTATAATAAATATTATCAATAGACAATAGATAATAAATACTCAAAGTTCCCTGAATAGTTCAATCCAATTTTCAATGTCACTAGCTCAAATTTATTGTAAAGTTTTGTCATAATTATAATCAAGAGTTTATTTTAAAAAATTATTTATTTTATTTAGATGTTAGTTATAAAATCTATAAATTTAAAAATATTTTTCTAAATTATTTTACCAATAAACCTAGTTACATTTAACAGCTATATATTTATACAAATTATTTTTATGATACAATATTGTTTTATATGTTTGCTTGAACAAAGTATCATACTAATCATAGTTTCCGAAAAATAAACCTGGTAATTTAAAATATAGTAGTTACGCATTTTGGTACTATATATAAAATTTTAAATCATAAAATATTTGGTCAATTAAATTATATTTATTATTGAAATAAACCTATTATTTCTTTTAATGAACTTATCAAACAATAAACTATACAATCAGGGTACTTTTTAAAGTGTTTTTACAGAGATAATCAGGTATTAATTAAGTATTATGTGTCAATTAACTGATAAAAAATAAATGCTCCATGAACATTATATAATAAATGTACTATACGTTACAATGGTGAATCATCAATTTAATGACTCACACTACTGTATTATACAACAATTATCAGGATCATCCCAATCATCAAAATCAGTGCATAGAGTGTTAATTGTGTTCATATAACCCACACTTTGCTTATCAGTCAATACATGGCTATAAAAGCGGAGTTCACTCACTATTCCAGTCATTCAACACCGAGTACTCAGAAACACATTATACTTTATAAACTTACCAAGACCAGTTTACTGAAAATGAAAGGTAACTTAAAACTAATGCTCTATAAATGTGTTTAACGTTAAAAGTTATATAATAATTATTTTCTTATTAGGTTTCGCAGTGTTTGTCCTTTTAATGAGTCTATCGCTCGTGTACTCCAAACCCATTGGGTTTACCGGTACTGACGACTACACGAGTGGCACTCATGGAGTCACCGGTACTCAAGACTACTCCAGACCTACGCACGACTACTCGGGTACCCCTGACACGACTGGTGGGACTCATGACTACTCCGGAACTCCTGACACCACAGGGCGTACTCACGACTACTCCGGAACTCCAGATACTACCGGTCGGACTCACGACTACTCAGGCACTCCTGACACTACTGGACGTACTCATGACTACTCGGGAACCCCTGACACTACTGGACGTACTCATGACTACTCGGGAACCCCTGACTATAGCGG